CTCGCAATAATTAAATAGAACTTTAAAAGTTGTAAATACAGTACTACAACTCGTATGATGTCTGGTGTTGGAAATGGGGTATATCTATCTAAATGTTGGTATCTAATCCACTTAACAACACGGTCCCTTATTCTGTGTTTTGAATGTTTAAACCGCAGAAGTTTGACAATTTGTTAAATACATTTTTGCAGTGTTTTTTCTTTGCCCCGATACAAAAGTTTGATAATTAGGTATTTTGAAGATTCGCCTCACAAAGAAGAAAATAAAAAGTTCGGATCGGTCAAATTTTTAATTTTCAGAAATATATTACATGTAAAGGATCGTTTGAACCTAATGATGTTTGTAACGCCACGATGTATTGACCCTAGATCTTTATGGGTCGATCTAGATAGGTGTATCTGTCAGTATGTCCATTATAATTTGTAAATAATGTACCGGTCGAAGTTATGAACCAATCGCCTGAAATTTTCCGATTCTGGCCTAAGAAGACACTTATAGTTTTTGGTTATGAGCTGTGAAATGACTGTTTTGCAAAAATATATAGCGGATCTAGACTTTTGTGTGAAAAATTGCAATATGTTCATTCTAAACATATATATTTACGCTCTAGGTGCTAAATTTATAATCCGAACACCAATAAATTTTATACGGGGAAGCGAATCTGGACAACAGAAAATGATCAGTCGTCAAGCATGTGAAACAAAGAACGATTTTTTTGTGGGAAATTTAAAAAAAAAAAAAAACATTGAAGTTCAGTGGTTGTTGCAGCAGCCCTATTGCTCTATTGTGCAAAATCACACAATGGCTGAGTTGACAGACTTTGGCCGAGTAGGACTCGGGACGTTTCGGATAGTAGACCTCTCTGTCGCGGAAACGACGTCGAAGTTCAGTGTAGGGTATCATATGATTGACTTCGTCCGACTATACTGCTCCGATCACTGGTTTAACATAGGAAAATAATACCCATATTTTGAAATCGATCGAAATTTTAAAAAAAATTTTAAAAATATTAAAAAACATGTTTTTGCAACATATGGTCTGTTCCAGTACTTTTTTACTAGTAAAAGTAGTAAAAGGGAAACATTTCAAAATCGCTCTCAGAGTACAAAATAATTTGAAAAGTTCGGGAACGCAAATCTAGTAAATATGCCAAAATTAGATGACAATACTTCAAAATAAAAATAACAGCCAATCGGAAGTAGGCATTCCTGTTTACCATTTTTACTCGGCCATATTTCTCGAGTAAAAAGTTTTCAAAGAGAACGCCATTTTGTTTTGCGCTCTCTTAAATTTGATTCAAAGTTTTACAAGTTTTGTGGGTTCGGGAAGGATTTTCGAGTAAAAAGTTGCAAAACTTGTAAAGTTAGTAGATTCTTTTAGGTTTTGGAATGGAACTATAGTCAGGCTGAATCCCAGTTTGTTATTTTTATATAAAAAAACAACTGTTTATTAGTGGAGCATGTATGGCATTGCCCGCCGAGGGGTAAGGCATGGAAGACTATAGTTTCGGATCTCGCCACTTATCCTTATCAGTTGCGTTAGGTTTTTGTTGGGATATTCTACCCAGAAGCTATTTATAGCTTCTTTACAAAAAAAACCTTTCATAATCAAATGTCTCTTGTAACAAATCGAAGTACTTACATTACCAGCGATACCACCTCAATGCCTGATTTCGTGGTTAACAAGGTATTTGAATAACAACTGTGCGACGAATGCAAATTTGGTGTTAAACGAATTAAAAAAGTGCTAAATGTAGCGCTAAAAATGCTAAATTTGCAACACTCCTAAGACGTCCGATCAATTTAAACCGCTTCTTTGATATTTTTAAATTAAAAAATTATAAAATTACTCATTTTAGATACATATGTACATTCGTATATGAATAATAGAATACATAACGTAATATGTTTTGCAAACTTTTCTAGAAAACCAATACAGTATAAACTCGATAATCCGGACCTCGCTAATCCGGATTATTCGGTAATCCGGACTGCATTTCACAATTCATTGCGTTTCCTATAATCCGGATTGTTTGCAACTTGATAATCCGGATTGTTTTCAAATATTATTTATTTTGCTTTTTTAATGAAGTCGTAGCATGCCATGAAAATACAGTTAGAATTATGAGCAGCAAAACTCTTAAATATGGCGAATATGAAGAATTCGAACTATTTCTATATTATTGGTTTCAGAAGCAACGGGAAAAACAGTTACCCATTTCCATACAAATCATTTGCGAAAAGGCAAAGACAATGTTTGTTGAAAAATATGGAGCAGAAAAAGGGTTTTCGGCAAGCTCCGGTTGGTTTCAACATTTTAAGAAAAGATTTTCAATCCGCGGTCTTAAAATATGCGGCGAAAAACTATCCAGTCGCCAGATCTTTTGCCCTCATTTCGCATAAAATTAAACAAGATTATCCAATCAGAAGAACTACTTGCATCTCAAATTTATAATGCTGATGAATCAGCACTGTTTTATAAAATGCTTCCGGAAAAAAACATTAGTTCATGAAAAGGAATAAAATGCTCCTGGAAGAAAAAATGTATTATAAAAAGTCGCTGTTGTGTGAAATGATAAATGCTGATAACGAAGATTACACGCAATTTTTTAAGAATTTCAATATTAAAATGTGTTGCATTATGCTAAAAAACTCTTGGGGGAAAGTGAGTGAGAGTATACTAAGATCCAGCTGGAAAAATCTGTTTAAGGAACAAAGAAGTTGAGGCATGGATTAACGATACTAACTCGACAGTGTCAGATATTCAAATTTCCTCAGAGGATGAAGAGGCTGATACTTTATTTGAAACTCAACCCGTAAAAGCAAAAAATGCTTTTCAAAGTTTAGAAACGTCAATAAAATGGGCTGAAGAAAATAATGTCGGCATAGAAAAAGTTTTTGTTCTTCATGAATTGCGGGAACAGGCATTAGAAAAATGTTTATCTAATTCGAGGCAAACAACTGTACTTGATTACTATGCCGAAAAAAATAATGCCGATTTATGTTAACTTTGAAATATATATTTAATTTGCCTGTACCCATTATATTTTAAGTTTATATTTTTGAAATGAATTTCTATTTTAATAAAAACAAAAAAACTATTTAAAATAACACTAATTTTATACATATCTAAAACATTTTGGAAAAAACTCGATAATCCGGAAATCTTGGTAATCCGGATTTGGGTCTGCAATCAATTATCCGGATTAACGAGTTTTTACTGTATTTGTATCAGACCCTATTAGTCTATTTTTCAAACTTTCAAAATAAACAACTCATTTCCCTTCACGATGCAATAAATTCAACAAGTAACAAAGTGTGGTCAGCTCTGGTTGTAAATAAAAAATTGCATGCTGCTTTCACATTTCCCCCAAAGAGATTAACAGTCAAATACAGAGAGCAACACTATTATGTTATCACTTCTAAACAAAGAGAGGGAAAGAAATGCTAACAACAAATGTTATTAACAGAGTATCAACAAGCATCGGTGTTGAGACTGAGAGAGTAATTAGAGTTGCGCTATTTTTAATTTTGTAACAAGCGTACTTTTTGTTCACAAAAGGCCATAAGTACCAAAACAAAAATTATATTTTTTATTATTCATGAATACATTTACGCTTAAATTATAACATATATTATTTATGCAAACAACTGGTATAAATATTGGCCAATATTTCTCGATAATTATGATTTATTATCTGCTTTGTACTATTGTTTGTGTGAAGTAGCGTACTTGTCAGTGCGGCCTGTGTGTTTGCAAAGGTTTGCGAGAGAGTCTCTGGCCCATTGTATGTGTCGAGTAGGCACAGCGTGTCGGCAGCATTAAACGACAGCACACTCTGCCTCTGTACAGCTGTCGTCTTGTGTTACAGCTAAGGCACTGCTCGACTCCAATGAAGTTTAGGAACGTTGAATTAGTTTGGCATTAGCAAGCGAAATGAACAGTTGTAGGGTTGGTTGTGCGTTTGGTTCGTCTGATTAATATTGCCGGCATGATATTCAGTGGAACTGTGTTAAACGGAGTGTAATTGTTTTTGTTATTTTCATGCGTTTTTTGAAGCCTTGTTTTATTTGATTTCACTTAACATTTTCATTTATTTAATTTTAATTTTTAAGTGTTCAAAATATATTTTGTTTTGTATTATTCATAAACGAAAAAAACACGTGTTGGCATTTTTTATCCAAACCCAATACCAAAACGCGAACGCAAACAGTGACGAAAAAACTTGAATAAATAATTCACTACCAAATGTAGATAAAAAAGAACTTCTGAAACAACAACAACAATAATTGTAAAGAAGCTAAAAACAGACATGTGGTTTCTATAGCGAAGAATTGCCTACCTATCTCGCACGAAATATGAAATTGTTGCGGTGAATAATATGACAAAAAAGGCCAAACTCAAAGCCGCGAAATAAACGACAGTGTGCTACATAACGAAACTATTTTTTAGTTTAGTTTTCCAACTCTACTACTAAAGATAAACAAAAACAACAAATCAGTAAAAGCACGTTGTAATATAAAAAATTAAATATAACACAAAACAAAAAGTGACAATATAACCAACCCAACAACCAACGGTCAAATAGAGTTGTACGGCACCCATTCGTTGTGAACGAACGTCATAATCATCATCATCGTAATTACGCATTCATCAAATCAAGGTGAAAAGAGAAGAAACATTTGTAACACACTCTCCCCATACCGGCTCATTATACGCTGGCATTTCTTCGTACGCACGAACACACACAGACACACTCAAACCCAACAAGCAGCATAACCGAATTCATTCAAACATAAATTTGGCCCCCATGAAAAATAGCTGATGCAATATATCGTCACATTTGCAAGTTTTTGAAAACTCATCCCAACGAAACAACGGAAAAAAGAGAAGAAAGGAAAACAAAAAGAACAACCTTAAAAGGCAAAAGAGCGGCAGCAACAGTAACAACATATACAGAGTACGCGTTAGCAGAACTGAAGCAAAGGAGCGTAGCACGCACGCGCTTTTTAATATTCCAATCAGAATTTAGTTATGGCCCGCGTTCAAGCCGGTGACAATTTAGTACCACGCCAAGTATTCGAAATGCCCGGTGATAACAGCAAAGAAATGCAAAGTTGCGACAGTTCTAGCCAAGGTTCTGGCGTTAAGCTGAAGAAACGTATTGGCCTATTGGATGGTGTTGCCATTATTGTGGGTGTCATTGTTGGTGCGGGTATTTTTGTGAGTCCTAAAGGTGTTCTATTGTATTCAGGATCGATTGGCCAATCGTTAATAGTATGGGTACTCTGTGGTGTGTTGAGTATGGTTGGCGCCCTATGCTATGCGGAATTAGGTAAGTGCAAATTTTTAAATAAGTACTTGTCGAAAAAAAAAATAATAATAAAAGAACGGTCCTTTCAATTCGGTTGTACATCTCTGTATAATATTTAAGTTTAGTCAAGGTCCAGCGTTTGAATGTACCAATTTTTTAATTGTATAAGTCCCATTTTTGGAATCAAATTAGGTTTGGTAAAAATATTAAGATATGCACAGTTTGGACCCGCCCGATCTTCTTTATATTAGATTTAAAATTTTGAGACTTGTAGAGGAGATTTGAAGGGAGTGGACCGATATAATCCTTCTTCGGAACCACTTTGATAATAATAATACTTTGTGCAAAAGTTTGATTATTACCTTTGAAAGTCAGATGGACGGAAGGACAATTCTAGATCGACTCCAAAACGTCTTTAACCAATTTTTCGATGACGCACATTTTTGTCGTATCAAGGATTAAGGTTGAGATATAAAATGTTTAAATATTAAACAGGGCGTTGGCGGGGATAGTGTGCAAGACGAATTCCATAGGAGGAGGTTAACTTCTTTCAAATCTGTTTTCGAATATCTGTAAATTTCTCTCCAGATGAAAGCAGCCGAAGCCATCTTTCATTCTAATAAGCAATATTGCCGCCAACATCAACGCATGAGGATTGTTTAAATAATAATGCAGTATATAACGCCACTCAGAGCAAAATGGCAACACTAATTAAATAAGCAAGGACCACAACCACATCACAAGATTTTATGAGTCGTTGGGCCTAGACAACGATAGGTAGCAGCCCCTACAGTAGACCAATCATTTACAGTCGAATTCGTTTAATTGAAAACTCCGCATAGCTAGAAAAACGTTTGAAACTAATGTGTGAAGAAGTTACAGTATCTTCTTCACACATTTTGTGCCGTTTAATTGAAACTCCGCTTAAACGAAAAATCGGTTAATTGAAAACGAAATTCCTTTCAAAACACACATATTTTTTGGAATAAACTCCAAATAAATTTAAAAATGGGCCCAGTAAAAAAAGTTCTGCGAAGAAGAATTCAACTTACCTTGAAGGATACCGAGAAGATACAACACTGATGAGTCAGGTTTATTTAATAAATCATTGCCTTCCGGCACATTGGCTAATTTTTAGCCTTTTACAATTTTTATATCAATATTAAACCACTTTTGGATTTTTTAATGTGTAGATTTTTTAATATAAAGTAAATAAATTTGTTTATCTGATCGCTTAATTGAAACACTTTAATTCGGTTAAATGAAACTACTTATATCAATTATCCGGACTTCGTATTACTAACAACCTAAGGACTAACAACCACATGACCTTATGGCAATGACGTTTGTAATAGCCTAGACAGATGACAGCCTTAATTTGCATTAACCGCCTTAATTCAAATTAACTTGTACATTATCCTCATTTTTATGTGTTGTAAATGCACAAAATCAAACTGAATTTATACTGAATTAACCAATTTCAATGCTGTAGAAAATAAATTGATTGTTGTCAAATTTGTTAACGTTTATGAAAATAAAAATTAGAAATAAAGGCAAAATACAACATTCCGTCGAATTGGGCGCTGTTTTATCATCATTATAGCTGTTATTCTTCCTGCCTGGCATATATCCTTTTCATAAAGATGTAATCCTAAAAAATAATGTAAACAAATGACAATATTTTCTTCCTACACACAGACAAACAATAATTTTGAAACAAAAAACTGATTCATAAATGCAGAAACTCTCGTCTGTCAGGGGTAAATATTAATTCAAATTAAGAACTATTTAATGCAAATTAAGGCTGTCGTCTGTCTTTGGTATTAAACAATATAATACAATCGTACACATGGACAACTTCGAGCGGCAATATTCGTAACCAAATAGACCACATATTTATTTATTCATTCAGTAATAAGGAAGCCTTAACGGCCAATAATGTATTACAAGTTAAATATACGCCTGAGAATAATCCAATATAAAAAATATCTTCAAAATACATATTTACAAAATATGAATAATGAACCGAAATACAAGACAGTGGTAGATTCGCCCCAAGTCAAGAAAATACATCAATTTTAGGCGAAAACGTTATTAGAGTGCGAAAAATTCTCAAGTCATTCTGACAATAAACAATCTAGCATACACATATATGCAAAGGAAACAACGCGTGTTATAAACATTTGAGGATTTCTAGTGGATCTAGATAAAATAAAAACGTTAGTAGACGATGGAAAAGCTATCTGTCACACTTCCGACAAAAAAGGGGAGCTGACACTGACCAAAAGCTTTCATTGACAAAATCAAGATCAAATTTAAATCCCCAAGAAGAAACTCCAGAGACAGCAAACAAATTACAGTTTGTTTTCACTTTTTACACCAATTATATTTAACTAGCATATGCCCGCAACTTCGTTAGCGAATGTAGGAAATATTTAAAAATGTATTAACATATTATTTTATTTTCAGAGAAAACTGCATATGCCTAAAAACAATCCACACATTAATATCGACCATAAATTAAATTTGATTACCATTTAGTACCAAATTTTATGATTCGAGCTCTAAAGGTTCACCCCTCCTCAACCATCTAATTAATCTTCCTGCGTACCCCGATCCTACACCCCCACAATGATTCCAAATTCAAATTTCAGGATTCCAACTCTATTAATTCACCCACAATTAAAATTGTACCGAATTTAGTAGTAGAGTTTCCAAAACTTCCTACTTAACCCAAACCAACACCCCCACAGTGATCCTAAATCTAACTATCAAGATTCAAACCCTATCGGTTGACCCACAATCCAAATTGTACCAAATTTAGTACACAGTAATACGAATTTCCAAACTTTCCTACCTAACCCAAACCAACACCCCCATAGTGATCCAAAATCTAAGTGTCAGGATTCAAACTCTTCCGGTTCACTCACAATTCAAATTGTACCAAATTTGGTACACATTAGTACAAATTTCCAAAACTTCCTACATACCCCCACAGTGATCCTAAATCCATGTTTCAAAATTCAAACTCTATCGGTTCACCCACAATACAAATTGTACCAAATTTAGTACACAGTAGTACCAAGTTCCAAAACATTCTACATACCCCAATCCTACCCCCACACTGATCCTAAATCTAAGTTTCAGGATTCCAACTCTATCGGTTCACCCACAATTTAAATTGTACCAAATTTAGTAGTACGAATTTCTAAAACTTCCTACATACCCCAATTCTACACCTCGACAGTGATCACAAATCTAAATTTCAGGATTCCAACTCTATCGGTTCACCCGCAATTCAAATTGTACCAAATTTAGTACACAGTAGTACCAATTTCCAAAACTTCCTACATACCCCGATCCTACACCCCTACACTGATACAAAATTTAGGATTCCAACTCTATCGGTTCACTCACAATTCGAATTGTACCAAATTTAGTACACATTAGTACAAATTTCTAAAACGTCCTACATATCTCAATCTTACACCTCAACAGTGATCCTGACTCCAAATTTCATGATTCTAGCTCTATTGGTTCACCTAAAATGCAAATTGTACCAAATTTGGTACCATTTAGTACCCATAAGTATTATTTTCTTAAACTGAATCCTGACCCCAATCCCACACCCCTACAGTGATCCTGACTCCAAATTTCATTGTTCCCGCTCTATCGGTTCACCTAAATCCAAACTGTACCGATTATAGTACGATTTAGTACTTTTCGTAGGCATAAGTAACAGATTTCCAAATCTGCGTTCATATCCCAATCCTACACTCCGACGGTAATTTTAATTCCAAATTCCAGGATTCCAGCTCGATTTGTATCTCCAAAGTAAATTTGTACCAAATATAGTGCCATATAGTACTTTTCGTACACATGAGTACACGCTTTCAAAACCATTTCCTTAAATGGACCCTACTTCTCAACCTTAATTCTTACACCAAATTTCAAGTTTTTAACGCTATCCGTTTTAACGCTACAGAATTGTACCAAATTTAGTACATTTTCGGATATTTATAGTTCGAATTTCCAAAAACCCTTTGGTACACCTATCCCACACTCCATCAACGACCACCAATCCAAATTTCAAAGTTCTAGCTCTACCGGTTCGCCAAATACAAGTGGTATCACATTTAGTACTTTTTAGTACTTTTTGTACCGTTCTAGTACGAATTTTCAAATCTGTCACCTTTGGATCAAGAGTGACCCTCACCCAAAATTTCAAGATTCTAGCTTCAGCCGTTTCGTCTGGGCGTTGATGAATCGTTAAATCAGTCAGTCAGTCAATCACTTTACTCTTTTATTAATACAGATTTGTACTTTTTAGTACTTTTTGTACCGTTCTAGTACGAATTTCCAAAAACCCAGCCTTATCTGTCATATTTGAACCAAGAGTGACCCTCACCCAAAATTTCAAGATTCTACCTTCAGTCGATTCGTCTGGGCGTTGATGAATCGTTAAATCAGTCAGTCAGTCAATCACTTTACACAAGGCACAATAAATAATTGACAGTATAAAAATGCCTGAATGTTTGCTGGTCAAAGTATGTTATACAGTCGAGTACGATTACAGCGAACTCGTAGGGACCAAGCAAATTGGTTCGTTATAGAACAAGTTCGTTATATCCAAGCTAAGGCAAAACATGGTCTTAGCAGAAAAATATATATTCAGGTAGAAATTGTTAGGTTTTTAATGAATATCACATTACAGCTGACATATTTTGTAAATGTTGTCAGCTATAAAGTAAAAAAATAACTTTTGTGACGATTATCATCGTTAGTATTGCGTATATTTGCAGCAAGTTCGTTATAACGAAATAAAAATATATTAAATCTGAATGTTGGGACCGAAAATAAACCTAGATTTGCTTAGACATTTGAATGATATTGGCAAGGAGAGATACCGAAAATTTGGACTATGAGATATATTTTTAACAGATAGATATATTTTTAACAATGAGATATATTTTTAACAATGACAGATACCGAAGATTTGGAATTTGCGATATATTTTTAAC